AAAGATTGTTGTACGATTCCAGAACAATGCAAGGCAAATTTTAGTTCCATAAAGGGAAGATTTTGTTCATTAGAGCTATCCATATACAAAATGCTTTTGCAAGCCAGGTGTGGTGTCTTACGCTTATAATCCCAGCACTCTGAGAGGCTGAGGCAGGAGGATTGCTGTAAGTTCGAGGCCTGTCTGGGCTACACAGTGAGTTCATGAGCAGTCTGAACTACATGGTGAGACCCTGTCTCAAAAAAAACAAAACAGGGCTGAGGATATAGCTCAGTGGCACAAGTGCCTGCTTGGCAAGTACAAGGTCCTAAGTTTGATTCTTGGTACCAACAAAACAAAACGAAACAAAAACCAAAAAAACCCACAAAGGGGTAGGGGTGGATTATAGCTCAGTGCCAAGGCCCTGGGTTCAATCCCCAGTACAGCAAGAAAAAAAAAGCTTTCTGGTTTTGTGTAATACCAAACTTCTGAAACCACCATGCTGAAGAACACAGTCTCTGCAGGTAGATTTTCCTGGTTTACCTCCAAGCCTTGGAAAAGCCTTTTTTTTTTTCTTTTTGAGACAGGGTATTGCTATGCAGTTCAGGCTGGCCTTGAGCTCACTTTGTAGCCCAGGCAGCCTTGAACTTGCAAGGATCCTCCTGCCTCAGCTTCCCAAGAGCTGGGGTTACAGACATGCGCCATCATGCCTAGCAGGAAAAGCCACTTTTGATGTACCTCTCTCCGTCCTTTGTAAAACGGGACAATTTTAACTGTTTAGAATAGTTGTTTAAATATCTTAAACAAATTTTTAAAAAATAGGTAATGGTGTGCATGCTTGTAATCTCAGAACTCCAGAGGCTGAGGCAGGAGGATTGCCATGAGCTCAAGGCTAGCCTGACTACATAGGGAGACCTTGTCTCAAAAAACCCCAAAATAAGTAAATAAATAAGTGATGGACCGCAGTTTGGCAGTTTATTACCCAGTTACATATGATCTTATCATACTTATCATATCAGTAATCTTATCATACCAGCAATCTTATCATACCAGTAATTGTGCTTCTAGGTATTTACCCAGCTGATAGGGATATTAAATAAATGTGCACAAAGAAACTGTACATGAATGTTTCCAGCAGCTTTATTAATAATCACCAAGAATTAGAAACAATTAAGATATTTCAGTAGGTGAATGGTTAAACACTATGACATACCCAGCCGTATAATGGATTACTATTCAGTGATTAAAAGAGATGAGCTAGCAGATCATGAAAAGGATGACCGGCTCTTAAATTCATGTTGCTATGTGAAAGAAGCCAGTCTGCTAAAGCTACCTACTATGTGGTTTCAGTTTTATGGCATTTTGGAAAAGGAAAACTACGAAGACGATAAAAAGATCAGTGCTTGCTTGGGATTAATTAGAGATTGGGAAAAAAACTGAATAGGTGACAGATTTTTTTAGGGTCGTGAAACTATTCTATACGATACTATACTGGTGGACGTATGACACTATACATTTGTTTAAACAACAGCATCTCACAGCATAAACAGTGACTTCGGGTATGCCTCTTAGCGTCCCCCTCCCGCCAAAAAAGAAAATCATTTAGGAGGTTGGTAAAATCCCAACATGAACGCAGAATGTGACAAATAATCTGACAGTTTAACAAATATGTAAAATAAAGCTAACCGAAGTGGCAGGAAGTCAGAAGTACCCTGTCAAAAGTTATTAATTTTTTTTTTCCGGTACCAGGAATTGAACTCACGACCTCGCGCTTGCCGGCAGGCGCTCTGTCGCTGAGCTAAATCCACAAGCC